ATCTTTAACTGTTTCGGAACAGGTCACTGCAGTTTTGAAAACGAAAACTGTGGACTGAAAACTGACAAGAATGCAACGCTCCACTGGACCGTGGGCTCAGCTCAGACGAGGAGAGAAAGTACTGGACCGAGTTACGATCACACGTTTAATAAAGATGGTAAGAAAAGGCGTCACTGAAATGAAATGCTGGCATCTGGACATTAGTAAAGTTAACTGATTTTGATGACTATCCAAGTAGTAAAGTGTTTATATGGCGGCAAAATCGGGATCCCCATTCAGTGGCACTTTTCCAGTAAAAAAGAATGTAGTATGAAAATAATTTTCAGAGTAAGCAGCACCAATAACAGGATTTTTGGGAGATTGAAGAGATTAATTGCCATTTCCTCTACTGTTCGAATTAAGGGAAGATTTGCCTGTTTTCATTACCTACAGCAGATCACAAATTTACCTGCTGTTTTGGCGTCTAGTTCTAAATGGATTAAATCTGGCCTTTGCGATCTTTTCCACTCGCTTTAAAAGCTATTATTCATTTCAAAGGAGTAACGGTAGCATCCTGATTTTCCGAACGACCCAAGGGTTGTTGGACACGTGAAATTAAGATTCAAGTGCACGTGGCTCAAATGGTGCAACTTGTACTGGTCATGGAGTGGAGTCGGTTTATCATTTGTGCGATTGGTTCAAGTGGCGACCTGTTACTTTTCAATGAAATAACATGAAGCAGTACTTGGAAATGCTGCTTCTCAGTTGCATTAGCTGCACTCACTTCAACCTATTTCAGCAAGTAGTTTTAGCATAAACAAATTTGTCACGTAAAACGCGCCTTAGAGGACAAGCGACTAAACGTTGTCACAATTACTGAATTGAACTAATTCTAGAGATACAAACGGTGAAACCTATTTTAATACTCGTGCGAGTTGTACCACTTGAATCACTTGAACAAGTGGTGAATTTTAATAAGTCTTTGATGACGTACTCCGTTCCTATTTTGCAGGATCATATATGTTTGTTGATGCTTCCGACAAAAGCCCCGGACACGAGGCGAGGCTGCTAAGTGGCTGGATGGAAGCCAATGAAACAGTTTGTCTTCAGTTTTGGTATCACATGTACGGCTCAAATATCGGCAACCTTAGTATTTTTATGAAGACTAACCAATCAGAGGCTCCCTGTCCCGTCTGGAGGCTGTCAGGAGATCAAGGAAACCGCTGGAGATTTGGACAGACGGCTCTGAATAGTCCAAATTTTTATAGAGTAAGTTGTAAACCGTCACTTAAGGTCTGTTAAAAGTCAAACTTAAGCCTTAAATTTTTTCCTTAAAGTTATATTCTATTTACCGATCTCGTAAACCGTGTTCCTTTAATATATAAATACGGCTTTGTCATCAACCGATCCAATGGTACGAAGTCCTCCATGCTGTATGGCAAAACATTGCGACAAAGATCTTCCAAAACAAATCCAGATCAGCCAGTTCAGCATAGCTTTGCTTTGCTTCTGGTGTCTTAGGGTTTGACTTCCAGCCTTGCCGGTCTGGCTCGATCAGACCGGCTGGGGGAGTTTGTAAAGGAATATGTGGTTAGTGTTTTTATAAATTTGTATGTCCGTAAGAAAAAAGGTCGTTCGCATTTTGGAAATACTGCAAGACTGAGATTTAATCTTCGTATTCTTTCGTTAGTTTGTAATCGAAGGAACTGTTGATGCTGGAAATGCAGGTGATATTGCTTTGGATGATTTGACGGTTTTCGGTGGAATCTGTGAAACTATTACAAGACAGGGTAAGTGACCCGAAATATAGATAGATAGATAGAGACTTTATTAAGAATGTCATCAACCACCTACTAATACGGGGTCATAACAAAAACGAGTTAAATTAGAAGAAAATACCGGGAAAAAAAAAACCTATAGCTATTTACAATAGTAAAATTTAAATCCAAGTTAAAATATGTTATGAGACTATGTACAGTGGATTTCTATTTCGGGTAAGTGACCCGAAATAGAACCTCGCTGTTTGATAGATAGCCTATATTTTAAAACGATAAGAGTTAAAGCTAAGAAGCTTGTGCGGTTGTTTGTACTTAAACTAAATATTTATAAACTACAACTAGAAAATCTATAATAAAAGTTTAAAAATCTAAAGTCAAGGATATCCAAACTGATGCTCAGTTATTCGCAGAAGGTTAAGTCTGTATACGAGCCAAGTGGCCCATCAGGCCGGAGCTTATCCCGGTTTCTGTAGCATGAAGTGACTAGGAGTATTTCTACTCCCCCCCCTGGATGGGATGCTGGTCCATTGCAGGGTTGCCCCCAGCATTAAGTTCGCCGACATCTATTTATACACCTGGGTGGGGAGAGGCACTGTAGGATTAAAGTGTTTTGCCCAAGTACACAACGCAATGTCCCCGGCCAGGGCTCGAACCTGGACCGCTCGATCCGGAGACGAGCGCACTAGCCATGAGGCCACCGCTCTTCCCATTTGGAGAAGCCGTATCATTATAAGAAGCTATAAGAAGGCGTACGTGACGTGCGCGATGACGACTTGCAATTTAAAAGCTAGGACTTTGTCGCACGTGGGAAGGTTACGACAAGTGTTTGACACTAATCGTTTTATGTAAATTAAACTTGCAACGTGCTTACTGTTGTCGTGTGCGACACGAAAACTGTCGTACGATCATCCATTCTGAGGAGCATTTGCGTGTGTTGGGTAATCTCTGTACCTCAATAAAGAGCTACTGTTTTTTATGGTCCAAAAAGCAGTCCTTGTTGTTCAAATGCTGCCACGTCAGGTTGTTGACTATCAGTGTTACTTCATGTTGCTGAGAGACATCCCTTCTGTACGTACTCCGCGGTTTTAACAGATTCCGATACAAAAAAATAATATTGGTCTCGTGCTGTCTCTTTTTCCAGCACTGTAGGAATAAGGATTTTGTTTCATTCTTTGTTGTTATCTGCAGCAAGTCCAGACTGTGATTTTGACGAGGGTATGTGTGATTGGAATGCTCAAGGAAAATGGATACTTGACAAACGACTTGTCAATCGGTTTGAGAAGCGAGGTAAGATGATATTCCTGTGTGGTATGTTCCGAAAAATCATTCTATGTAGAACCACATATCACGAGACAAGTTAGTTTAAGTTAGTTAAGTTGTTATGGAATAAAAATACAGTAGAACCCCTTTAATCCGGTCACCAACGGGCCACAAAAAATTTTGGCCGTAGTAACGAGGTGGCCGTATGTATTCACGGGGTGACCGTAAGGCGGGGTTCCAATGTATTTCAATTTCGTTTATTTTGAATTTAAGTAGACAATGTTGGTACAACATGCTTTTCCGTAGAAAAGAAAGCAGAAAAGTTGAATCCCGGTTTTCCAACCTCCAAGAGGAACGAAAATTGGTTTGAAAAATCGGGTTTTCAAGAAATCGGGGTAAAATTACAGTGTTCGACTGAGGGGAGGAAAACAACTTTTGGTTCAAGTTATCGGGAGATTAAACAAATCGAGGGTTCAAGTCGAGAAATCGGGATTCCATTGTAACATGAAAATGGCATTGAGCTTGACGAAAGACCGAGTCACGGGATAATCAATCACTTAGTCATTCTAGTGCTCTCATGTCCTGCTTATCTGTTTTCCTTTTTATTAGTTAATTGGTCACAGCATTTGGTCGATCTGTCGATTGGTCAGTCAACCTGTCACTGAGGCAGACAGGTGGAATTTCATCGCAGAGCTAATGGAGAAACATTGTTAACTGAGATAAATTTTAATTGCTTAATAAGCTCTAGAAACTGTTACATTCTGTTCTCAGGTGGATTCGTTGTTTCTCTTCCCGCTGGAAAATCTGTGTTTCCTTCCTCCCTTTCATCTCCGGTCATCAACAGTCATGCGTACCAATGGAAGTGTTTACGTTTCTGGTATTTTATTGGCAGTGACGTTGTCCATGACTGGTATACGGCCTCGTTAATGGTTAATGTAAGGACAGTAACATCAAACCAAACTATGCTGCTTTTCTTTACGGAGGAAGTGACAGATAAGGCGCAGTATACACAGATACCCTTGCCAAGCAATTACACAAATGCACAGGTATTTACCCTGTTCCTTGTAAGCCTGCAAGGCTTACTCCACGTCACAGACGAATGGCGTCTAGTTATTGTGTTCCCCACTTTCCAATGTCCCATATTTACTGAGACCGGCCAATATCATACTTTGCAATTCCCAATTAATGGGTTTTACGGTTCTTTAAAGGGGCGCAAGGTCTATTTAATCTGTCACCCAACCTTCGAGGAGACCTTCCGCTCGAGAATGACGTAAGACCAAGTGCCTTGCCCCTAATTTCTATCCGTTTCTAAAGATGAAAGCGTAATTTAACTTAATATTCTTTTCAACACTAGCCTGCTATTAAATGCATTTGTCTTCTTTGACATGATGCAGGTTGATTTTGTTGGCTGGAGCAAATTCTCATTTGGACCATCTTTAGCAATTGACGATGTTTCCTTCACCAAAGAACTTTGTCAGCAAATTCCATGGAATCCAGTTGAAGGTGAAATTAGAAATGAGAATTGTAATAAACAGAATTGTAAGAAATACTAAAAGGTAGTGTATGGCATTTCAATCCCACAATATTAATCTTCCTTATTAAATGGTAGACAGTATAATTCTTTTCTTCTCCCTTGTTCCAGTATTGCTTATTCGTCCTGTAATTGTAATTGGCTATGGTGTAACGAAGTTGAAACAAAGTTATAAATAAATCAAGGAATCGTGGAAAGTGGCCAATTTTCTCCATGAGACATGCCTGCAGGGAATCATGGTAGTTGTATTCGTTATCTTGGACTGGTTATTTCTTTCGATGAATACAACTACCATGATTCCCAGCAGACGCGTCTCATAGAAGGAATAGGCCATAAGTATTTCTTAATTATTTCTGTATCTAAAATTTGTTAATCAATTTTATAGAACATAACTGGTGGAATAAGTATATGATGCACGCAATTGACGTTGTATTTGTATAGCATTAAAATGTCAAGAGGCTCTCGGCATGGAGAATGGTGCAATTTCTGATGGGCAAATTAGTGCTTCCTCGCAACTAGATGCCAATCTTGCCGCCAAGCAGGGCAGACTGCACTGTAAAGCAGGATCTTGGTCAGCTGACAAAAACGATCTCCATCAATGGCTGCAAGTTGATCTGGGTAGTCAGTACACGAAAGTGACACGTGTAGCAACACAAGGAAGAAATGATGTCGCTCAGTGGGTAACCATGTACAAACTGCAGTACAGTAATGATGGAGTGTACTTCCAATACTACAGAGAACAAAGACAAACTGCAGACAAGGTAAACTAGACCTTTATTGAATCACTCAGTTCTGGCTGCGAGTAGTGTACAGTTGGGTGCGACTTTCATTGGACATATTTTTTAAGCGCCACTAGTTTGTTTTTGGAAGCCTCTCCCGATAAAAAGAGAAACAAACTTATCGAGAATTGCGAGTATAAGCCACGGACTTATATTGTTCACATCGTTTTTTTCTTAAAAAAAAAGTAAAAAAGTTAGTATTCTAACTAAATCATGTCAATTCATATGCCATATACGCAAATATGAATTCAACTTCCGAAGCAATTCATTTTAATTTAATTAGCTACCCCTGCCGCTAGTTTGGGCATAATTATCATCAGCCCAGACATCTATTATCAGGAAGACGGTAGTTTTTTGATATACCTATCAGGGAGATTTGAAAAGATATACACCTTGACATTTTGCTGTCTTATGACTTAGGATTACACTGGAAACACAGACCAGGACACTGTTGTTTATCATGAATTAAATCCGCCAATCAGGGCACGTTTTATTCGTTTTCGACCAGAGGCTTGGCAGGGGCACATATCAATGAGAGTGGAGCTGTATGGTTGTCTGGAAGGTGCTGTATGGCGCTTTGTGTTTGTAAAGTCATTCTAGACTTTTTGTCATCTGAATTATATGGTTTTCTCTTATGTATTAATATTTCAAGAAAGGTTTCCATTCTTAAGAAGTAATCGACATTAATTTTAATAAATTGTAATAAATAATAAATACAATAATTTTGATAAATACAACGGGGGGGTTGAAATGTAAGAAAGAAAAATCTGCAGCACATGCATGTTCTTCAATGTAAGGTTCGTTTTGCAAGGTACTGGACACTGAATCGATCTTAGCTGAATTCTGCCAGGGAAATTGACAAAGCTTTGTATGCACAAAACTCCAAAAACTTCGTACTTCACTTTCTTGTTAGCATTTGCCATAATCCACAATGAAGACTGTTGTCCAGGCTGACTGACATCAGCAAACAGTGGTAAATTATAAACTGATTTAGTTCAAGAGCAATTCGTTGGTGCATTTTGATTTTCTTCGACTTTCCGGTTCCGCTTTGTTTTTCCGTTCATATGTAATCCGGAAATGTATTTTTCACCATAGATTATACATACAGAAATCGTTATTTGCCGCAAATAGAGTGTAAAAGGTGGCCATTTGTTGGGTCAGAGACTGCGAGAGACTGTAACCTTTCCGATCCCTAGCCTTTAAACTTATATATTGAGAAATAGAAAACATGTACCGTGTTTCTATCGAGTTTTAGTATAAATCTACTAGCGTTCTATCACGAATGCCGTTCTTTGATTGGCTACGCTACTCACTATCTATTCTGTGATAGGTAGTGAGTAGCGTAGCAGTGTGCCCTTGTTAAAAAAATGACGACCGCTTCTTGGCGTTTTCGAAGTGTCTGTGAAGAGGATTTAGATTAAGTTTAGAACGACTAGTAGATTTATACTAAAACAATTAGATTATTCGCTCTCGATTTCTATGCGTGATCGCCCTCGTCAACTATCACGCGATAGAAATCTCGAGCACATAATCTAATTGTTTAATAGAAACACGAGAGGAAGTTTGGGAGAACAAGAAATGCTGTGGGAACACGAGCTGCAGGCGAGTGTTTCCACAGCTTGTTTGAATTCTCCCAAACTTTCACGAGTGTTTCTATAACTCGATAGAAACACGGAGAACATGCTTTCCATTTCTTTTAGAAAAAACCGCGACGAAAAAAAGGAAAACAACTTGTTAACTTTGATTATCAAAATGTAAATTCTCTTTGCTCGCGCCATCATTACGTGAACAGCTCGTGCTAGTTCTGTGTTTCTATCGAGTTATAGAAACACGCCTTTTAACCAATCAGCGCGCGTATTTTCTCAGGATTAGTTTCTAATTACAAGTAGGTCAGCCAATCAAATTGTAGTATCTGCATCATTAGACTACATGTTAACATTGGTTTCAATCTATCAAATTTTCAGAATGCCAACAACCTTTGGGCATGGAAAATGGTGCAATTTCAAACGGACAAATAACTGCCTCGTCAGAATGGGATGTCAACCATGCCGCCATTCAGGGCAGACTTAACTTCCAAGGAAATCAAAATAAAAAAGGATCTTGGTCAGCTCGCAGCAATAATAATGATCAATGGCTGCAGGTTGATCTGGGTAGTGAACACACTAAAGTGACTCGTGTAGCAACGCAAGGGAGACATGATTATCCCCAGTGGGTGACCAAGTACAAACTGACCTACAGTAACGATGGAGTGAACTTCCAGTACTACAGGGAACAGAGACAAACTGCAGACAAGGTGAAATGGAAAAAAAAAAAAAAAAAGTAATAAAACTCAACTGAAACGTTGATCAACTTTCATTCATTAATTATTTCCTCCTTAAAATGTTCCGAGATTCAATTTCGCTTCTCTAACGTATGGTGAAGATTGAAAACAAATCATACCCCACCTAAAAAAGTTTTCACTTTTAAGCCTTTCTACTTTTGTAGCTTACATAATTCGGCCTGCAATTTCTTAGTATAACGCTTTAGGGTTTGTAAACAAGAAGACTAAGAAGATGAGATACGTAACGGGAGTTTCATCAATAATGATTTGTACATGAAATAATATATATCATTTTTTTTTTTTTTTACTGATTTAGGATTTTGCTGGAAACACAGACCAGGACACTGTTGTTTTTCATGAACTCAAACCGGCAATCAAAGCACGTTACATTCGCTTTCGACCACAGGCTTGGCTTGCACACGTATCGATGAGGGTGGAGCTGTATGGCTGCCACGAAGGTACTAGCAGGAAGTTCCTTTTTAACTGATCTCGACAATCATTTTGTGACTCTCTGCTTCTTAAGTGTATGATAATCTCGTCTCAGGCTTATTAGTAGCTGATTCATCAATCTTAAACGATGGAAATCGTGAGCGTGACCGTGGTTAGGATAAGATATTGCCATTCGTTTTACTATTTCCTTACTTTTAGTGTCGATTGAGAAGATATATCTAGAACTCGACCCAGAGTTTTGTAAAAATTTCCATGCAAACATCTCGCAGCTCGTAAAAATGTTCCTTTAAGCGTCGTGTATTTAACTCTGTTCTCGTGTTTTGGAAATGTACTGAAACCGTTCCTCGGTACAAACAGCCTCAGCCTTGCCTTAAGAAACCGATGGATTCAGTTATTCACGCTATTTATAATGCCCAGTTCCCTCTATGAGATGCGCCTGCGGAGAATTATGGTGTTTGTATTCATCATCTTGGACTGGATATTTGTTTTGATGAATACAACTACCATGATTCCCTACAAGCCTGTCTCATAGCGGGATTTGGCCAATCAGATCATTTTCCTTTGGGTATACGTTTTCAGTCATTTACTATCGGCCATCTCGAAACACTGTATCGTGATCCTGTTTTTGTTTCTCTCCGTTGAAAATTCGAGCGGGATTCAACTGATATCAAGGACAACGGCTCTTTAATTCTGAGATGAATATTCCTTATAGATATTCCTAAATAATTTCAGTGCAGTATTACACAGAAGTAGGAAAGATCACGTTTCGTGCGAGAGAAATATTAACGTACCTTTTGTTCCTTTCAATTTGTAAAATAATCAGTTTGTCAAGAAGCTATGGGAATGAAAAATGGTGCAATCTCTGACGGGCAAATCACTGCCTCCTCGCAGTACGATCCCAATCATGCCCCATTTCACGGCAGATTAGACTTTACAAAGTGGAAAGCGGGATCTTGGTCAACAAACAGAAATGATCTTCATCAGTGGCTCCAAGTTGATCTGGGTAGTCAGTACACTAAAGTGACACGAGTAGCAACACAAGGAAGACAGGACGCTGCTCAGTGGGTAACCAAGTACAAAATGCTGTACAGTAACGATGGAGTGAACTTCCAGTACTACAGAAAACAAGGACAAACGGTAGACAAGGTGAAATAGACTTAATTTTCAAGGACATTGATTGCTCTTTGTTCCAATCTTGGAATTTTTATGTGGTAGTGACTTTTGTTACTAATTACATTTGTAAGCCTAACTTGAAGATGTTTTCTCCAACTAAGTTTATATTCAACTTATTGCCCATTTTAACACGAGGACAGACAAAACATAACAAATCATCTGGAAGGACAAGTTTTCTCACGATTTGTTCTTCTAATGTGAATTTTAGAGGGACAACTCACAACTCACGCAGGGTTAGTTACCGTGCCCTCCACCCGCTATTTTGATTTTCTCATAAGCCATCACTCCATTTGCTGGTTCCATTCTCCCTAGAGAGTACAGCGACCGAGATGCAACCTCTTGTTCGTCTGTTGTGAATTTAAGTTGGACTTTCGACGACTTATCCGTGAACAATCGTCTTAGATGGACAAATCGATGGATAAATGTAGACGACTTTTACGTCCATAATTCTGTTCGTCCTCGTCTTCGCACTAAGGTGACTTGTCCCTCTGACGCGACTTGTCCTTCCAGACGATTTGTCCGTTTCTAGTGTGAAAGCGACAATTGAATGATAGCTTGGATGATATCTTTAGTTTGGAACGTAACGTAAAATTCGGAAGTTTAAAATTATTATTTCTTAGTTATAGATTGCAAGCAATTTGTCCTCTGTATGATTTAGGACTTTGCTGGAAACAATGACCAAGACACTGTTGTTTATCATGACCTAAATCCATCAATCCAAGCACGTTACATTCGTTTTCGACCTATTGCTTGGCATGCACACATATCAATGAGGATGGAGCTGTATGGCTGCCAAGAAGGTACTCTAGGAGGTAGGTTTTTGTTGTTGTTGGTCTCGTTTTGTTTGAGTAAAACAAAAAAAGTGTACCGTGTGGCTAATTTCCATGTGGCTCTCTCACTTCTCACCTGACATAATTCTCTCTCCATTAGATTGTCAAGAAGCTCTTGGCATGGAAAACGGTACAATTTCTGACAGACAAATAAGTGCCTCTTCGCAGTGGACTGCTGATTATGCAGCCATCCAGGGCAGACTACACTTTAAAGCTATTCCTAAAAATGCGGGTTCTTGGTCAGCTGGCAAAAATGATCTCCATCAATGGCTGCAGGTTGATCTGGGTAGTCAGTACACTAAAGTGACACGTGTAGCAACACAAGGAAGAAATGATTACAATCAGTGGGTAACCATGTACAAACTGCAGTACAGTAACGATGGAGTGAACTTCCAGTACTACAGAGAACAAAGACAAATTGTAGACAAGGTGAAATAGACTTAAATACCCGCGAAAAGTTGGTTAATCTCTTTCCGTGGTTTCCTCAAATTAAAGAAAGTGAAAAATCGCTCACTTTTCTTGGTCACCTATCCAAATAGTAACATATAACAATAGGGCTTATTTCCGTTCAAGAGACGACAACCGATGTTTCTTTATCGTAGTAATTTGATTCTCTTCAAGGCTTCCCACACAACTACTGGTTTTTGGGGAGTGGGGGTTATTCATTGCGTATCTTATTGGGATCATGTTGGTTACCCTAACAACTGTTTGGTCTTTCTTTTTAGGATTTTATTGGAAACACAGACCGGGACACTGTTGTTTTCCATGCTTTAAATCCACCAATCAATGCACGGTACATCCGTTTCCGACCAGAGGCTTGGCGTGGCTGGATTTCAATGAGAGTGGAGCTCTATGGTTGTGTAGGTTAGTGGGAAGTCTTCTCTTTGTGAAATCACTTGGAAGTCTTTTGCATCTCTTGATGTTGCCAAAAAAGAAAATTGATTTACCGAACTCTTCGATAAAAAGCTCCTTTCAGCAACTTAATGGTGTTGCTAGTTACATGCACCATATCATTAACTTTTGCAAAATTACAAATGTCAGAAAACGTTGCGAACCAATAAAGTCATGTCATGTCACGTCATGCCATGTCACGACATGTCATGTCATGTCATTTCATGTCATGTCAAATCAAATTACATTCTTTTAAAGTAGGCAGCCTACTCTAAAAGGAAAGAAGATATCAGGTAAACTATAGCGCCAAATCTTGTAGGAAAATTGAAATAAAATGCTTAAAGTATGAGATATAGACATTTTAATACATCAACCTGATCAAACCGTTAGAATGTCAAGAAACTCTAGGCATGGAAAGCGGTGCAATCTCTGACGTACAAATTACTGCGTCTTCGCAAATGGATGCCGATCACCCTGCTATTCGTGGCAGACTGCAATGCGAGACAGCTTCAGGTACAGCAGGATCTTGGTCAGCTGGAAACAGTGATGTGAATCAATGGCTTCAGGTTGATCTGGGTAGTCGGTACACTAAAGTGACACGTGTAGCAACGCAAGGAAAAAAAGATGTCGCTCAGTGGGTAACCAAGTACAAACTGCAGTACAGTAATGATGGAGTGACCTTCCAGTACTACAGAGAAGAAGGCAAAACCGTAGACAAGGTAAAATAGGTCCGACTAATTCCATTTGAAACCATTCATCTTAGCCTTTAAGAACCCTTTGTGCAGCCTGGTAGAGAGTATTTTAATCAGTGAACTACGTCCTCCTGATGTTTAATACCATCCCTTTTATTTTCCAATCCGTTTTAGTTTTAAAATTGAAACAATTGTTGCGGACGCTTTCTGAAGTCATTATTTTCTCTATACTGTGGACGAGATCAAGGCTACTTCGGCGAATGTAACGATCGAGAGTTAAAGTACAAAGCTCATGCAAGGGTATTAATTCCCTAACATTTTGATATCTTTCTTAGCAATTTGTTGGAAACACAGACCAGGAAAGTGTTGTCAGTCATCATCTAAATCCAGCAATCAAAGCACGTTATGTCCGTTTTAGACCAGAGGCTTGGCATAACCACATATCAATTAGGGTGGAGCTGTATGGCTGCCAAGGTGCTATGACAGTTTCCATTTCGACTGTCTTTCAAGAAACTCACGGGATGCAAGATTAGTAATTAGTGAAATGTTCCGCTCCTTGACGGTAGTATTACCGAATATTGGACAATTAATGTTTGTCAAATGGCCTATAAACCCACACTTTCTTTGAATTTGGCTTTTCAAGCACGCAGTCCCCTCTTCTCCCTTCCCCTAATCCTTCCCCTTTTACGCCTCCCCCACTACTCTTCCTTTCTTCCACTCCGTCCCCGT